CACATCATATCATGCAATAAACTGTACTTTTACATGGATCCAAATAGTGAAAGTTCATTTACATGATTTAGTACTGGTGTAAAGCATGAAGACATTGTGCATATTCGATGGGCCTAGACAAGAAGGAAGAATGCAATAAGAAGACACTAGTTTTTGGAAGAGACAATCTTTTAATCAAGCATAAAAGCCTAAATTTCTTACCTTAGTGTCATGAAATAGAAGGAAGAATCGTGACTTGGGAACAGATAATTTTGTCTCGAGTATGTTAGCAATGCCAGCACTCAGCTTCTTGTTGACATCGGGATTAAGCCCGCCAATAGACGCCAGCTCTCCATGAGCAGTCGGCTGTTCTGTCCCTCCAAATGCCATGGGTACAGATCCTTTCAACACAACCATCACATACTGCATCAATGACAGATCCAACAAGAGTTTAGTGCCCTTGAAAGGATTATGTACAAAGAAACGTATAACTTAATGAGTTTATTTTAAGAATCAATCCACTTATTGGAAAATTGACAAATAGGCATTTATTTTAAAGCAGATCAGAGATCTTATAGCTGAAGTAAAAATTGAAAATAAATGGCATTCAAAAACAAGTCACAAATTATATCGTCCGTGTAAACAACCAACAAATTGCGTCAAAATTTTGTTTCAAACATATCACATCAAGGCAATTGAATAAAATCAAGATGCATATAAATAATTCCTTAGTTCAGCTAAAAACATTGAGTTCATAGCATCATGTTAATGAAATTTGAAAAAGCCTTCACAGCACACGGTAACCTAATTGAAAAGTGCAGCCTTTGAACCTCCAGAATGCGAGTTGGTTTAAACATTTTCAACTAATCATGAAGAATTCTAAAGTTCGAGCAATCAACTTGCATCAGTAACTCATTTTGAACCAATCACAAGTGTACAAAATATATGTTTTCCAATGCTTCAAGCAAATTATAACACAATTTTCACATAGTTTCTACTTTTCCCTGAAAATTGAGACGTGTGGCAAATCAGACCTACCAAGTCAAATCTTCGCACAAAAAAAAAGGAGGTCGCACAAAACCACCACACAATCAATCACAAGTTAAAAACTCCAAACTCTTTTTGGATTGAATCTCCCAACTGAGATTTTTCTTTTCAGCATAAACTTCACTTTAGCATTTAAATGAAAAGCAAACAAAACCCCCCCCAAGAACACGATACAATGGTGAAGGAAAACGTAAACCAACTTACAACTGAACATCATAAGGTAAAATAAATCAATAAAATGCAATTAATTCAGAGCATCAATTAAAATAGCATTGATCACAGAAACTATTGAGAGAATGAAATGAAAAAAATACATACAGTCTCGGGTTTCCCGCGATGAGATTGGCAACAGTAGAGGAGGCTTCGGACAGTATGGCGGAGGTGTCAACGCCTTCCAGGCTTACGTTAGTCGACAGATTCAGGCACGGCATTTTCAAAACCCTTGGTCTTTCTCTTCGTGTTTCTTACTTCTTTTTTCCCCTGTGCTGACAGATAAAGGCCTACGAATACCGTCTTGAGGAATCTTTGACCTGTGTATGTTTTTATTTGGCTATATTGCATGTGAGGTCCCCAACCTTTACTTAATTGTACTTTTAACCTTAACCGTTTTCTCTTCGTATTACGGCCCAATGTTCCATGCTATAAGAGTGACGGCAATTGACCCGGCAAGTGAGCCTAACTCAACTCTCTTTGGATGAGTCGAACATGAATAAGCTCTTTTGTAAATTTTCAAGCCATGCTTGTCCTATGACTCATCTATTAGTGGACCAAATCGAGCCACTCGCCCCCTTTTTTGGTAAAAAATTAGCATCAAATAGGGTGAAAAAGCCGATATCTATCCCATCAGCCCACCTTGTGAGCTAGAGTGCAAAAAGATATTTAGCCCTCGTTGGCTAGCAATTTTTCACTTCAAAAAATTAATTTTTTTACAGTTATTTTACTATTTCAGTCGTTATTTTTGACTTCTTGATCTATTTTTCTTTCCAACGATCAAAAAATCAATTCTTATAATTACTATCGAACAGACCCTTATTCTCAAACTTTAGGTCTCCATTTTAATGAGTCTTTGAGAAAATTATATTTGAACTAGTAAATTTTTGGAAAATGTGTGATTGAAAAGAAAAAATATAAAAATATATTAAAATTGAAATGAAACCTAAACAAGGACTTAAATACGCCAAAACAAATATATATAAAAACAAAAAGAATAAAAAAGGTAATATTTTAGACCTCGTCCTTCTCATCCAGCCCAACATATCGAATGGATGGTTGATGAATCCATATTCATTAGAACTCACCAGTGTTAATATAGTAATAAGGTATCAATGTGGATAAGAAGATATCATCATGTAGAGAAAAAACATCTAGTTCAATTTCAATGAGGCTGAATTGTAAGTTAGTTTGGCTAAATACAACTTTTGATGGCACTTGTACGAGGCAACAATAACAAAGCACTCATCTATCTTCTTTAATTATTACCCTTATAATAGTACTGATGGAAATTATACATCAATGGAGAGAAATGAAGGAGAGGATAAAAAAGATCGAAGGAGATGTAATGTTCGAAGAAGACTTGAACACGAAAAGATCGTTGTCCCTGAACGATATTTGCCTCCTTTCACGATGCTTTTAAATGATTGAAATAGCAAATAGTTTGTAGGATTTATCAAACCTCAATGAAGAACATCAAAAGCAAAGCAATTCTTCAAATGAGCAAGTGATATATATATATATATATAGTTTTCAATCATCCCTACACAAATGGTCCCATCTCATCAAGAAATGGTGTATTGATTCATCAAAAAACCACCAGAAAAAAATTCCAATAAGTGACTAGCTTTTAAAATCATGCGGTCGCATAAGCTATAGCCATGCAGTTGCATGCTATAAAGTTGGCCCCACATTTGGCTTTGAAGGGCCACATGTGATCACAGGCCCCAAAGGCCTATGCGGTCGTATAAGCCATATACATGGCCTGATTTTTCCTTTATTACGATTTTCTTAATTCATCCAAATTGATTTTGAACAACAAGATTACAACAATCCCTCACTTATTCAAAATCAATGTTAATCACATACTCAAATATCAATACTCATGCATAAGAATTAGATATCTTTCGATTTGAATCTGACCATAGCATAAACCTCACAAAACATTATCAAAATTCAAGGTAGCTATAAACTTTTGAACCGGTTATTCCTTGTGACGATACCATGAAATCACACACACAAGTTTTATATTTTCACAAATTCCTCTAACTAGCTTAGTGCTAATATGGTCTTGCACTTATTCTTTTTCATTGAACTTTTAAAGAGAGAAACTCTAACTCTCTAATCAAACGGCACCAACTTGAAGTTCACATAAGTGAAGTTTTTCCAATATCTTTGTTATTTTTAGAGATATTTGTACCCTGTATTGATCTTCACTAATAGTTTTATAACTCATCTCTTCAACCTTAACAACTAACACTATTTATCAACGATAGGGTTTAATGATTTAATAGTGTTAACATCTATCCACTTATCGAATAATTTATTATTATCCTTTGAACTAAAATATACTTGCTTAGTATACTTTTGGTAGGGTTGCCATAAGGAGTTTCAACCTCATCTTACTTAATATTGATCTTTCTAACTCTTTTGTAAGATGTTGGATCAGCTAAGTTCTCATTAGACTCAACATCTGTAAGAGTAATTTTTCCATGCTTGATTAATTTTCTTAGATACTCATGTTTTAGACTCGTATGTCTAGACATTTTCATTATATGCTTTACTATATGCCCAAGCTAAAGTAGCTCGACTATCACACAAGATAGGTATCGAAGAAATATCCTTTATATCTAAATGTATTTCATATAATAGATCTCTTAGCCACTCAACTTCTTTTCCAATTTCAGCCAATGCTACAAACTCCCACTCCATTGTTGAGTGAGTAATGCATGTTTGTTTATTAGACTTTTAAGAAAATGCAACTCCTTCAAGAATAAATGCCCAACTTGAAATAGACTTATTTTCTCTTGCACTTAATATCCAACTAGCGTCAGTATATCGTTCTAAAACGATAGGGAACTTTGTATATCATAGTCAAAGGTTTTTTATTTTCTTTGAGTAACCATAAACTCTACCGATGGCTTTCCAATGTTCAAAACTTGGATTGTTAGTAAACCTACTTAGTTTACTCATAGCGAGTGTAACATCGGGTCTTGTACATTGTACCACGTACATAAGACTTCCAATTGCACTTGAATAGTCTATTTAAGCTATTACTCTTCCATTATTTTTTATCAACTTAATACTTGGATCCAAAGGGATATTAGTCTCTTTAATGTTCAAGTGTTTAAATTTATTTATCACATTTTCAATACAATGTAATTGGCTCAATGTAATACCCCCACTATCATTTTAAACTTTGATATCAATGATAGTATCCACTTATCCAAGATATTTCATTTTGAATGTGGAGGACAGAAACATTTTTGTTTCTTTAATCTCATCTACGTTGTTGCTAATGATCAAACATATAGACATACTAATGTAATTATACTATTGCATACTTTAGTATATAGACATTTGTCTATCGATTTATGATTAAAATCATTCAACATTATTTTAGAGTCAAATTTCTCATACCACTTTTAGGGGCTTGTTTTAATTCATATAAGGACTTTATTAATATATATACCTTATGTTCATTTTTCGGTAGAATAAACCCTTCTGATTCTATCATATAGACTTTCTCTTCGAGATCTCCATTTAAGAATGCAGTCCTGACATCCATTTGATAAACATGTAAATTATAAATTGATGCTAATGCAAACAAGATCTTTATTGAGGTTATCCTAGCCACGGGTGCATATATATCAAAGTAATCTATTCATTCATTTTGTCTATACTCTTTAGTTACTAATCTAGCTTTATAGGTATTGAATATTCCATTGAAATTATATTTCTTTCTAAACACCCATTTACAACCAATGGATTTAGAACCCTTTGGTAAATCAACTATTTTTCAGGTGTTATTTGATATAATAGTATCCATTTCATCATTTATTGTCTCTTTCCAGAATATACAATCTCTAGAAGACACTGCTTCCTTATAAGTTTCATGATTACTTTCGACTTGAAGAATAAAATGAATTATTTTTACAACATCATTCCTATCTCCCTCTATTAAGTAGAAAAAATAAGTTGGGAATCTATTTCATCCAAACTTCGATCTTTTTCTTTTCTAATTCTTTTACTTCTTCGATGTTTACTTTCAAAGTCTCTTGTAGATTCTCTTCTTGTGATTATCTAGAATTCAGAATATCTTTATTATTTTTATTTTGAGAATTTCTTGCTATCAATACATTCTCAAAAAACTCCACATCCCTTGATTATATTATAACATTTGACTCTAAATTTAACAACCTATAGGCCTTGTTATTTAGAGCATATTCCACAAATGTTCCACAAAGATACATTTGATACCTCTAGGACCTAATTTATTTCTCTTAGAATCCATGTTCTTACAATAATCAAAATACCCCCACACTTTGAAATAATTAATTGTTGGCTTCCTTCCTTTCCGAGTTCTATATGAAGAGATCTTATTCTTTTTCAAATGAATCCTATTTACTATATGACAAGCACTAAGTAAAGCTCACACTGTAGATTAAATGGTAATTCAAAATTTAATAACATAACATTTGTCATTTCTAAGAATGTCATATTCTTTTTTCTGCTAGACCATTTTATTTTCATGTTCGTGGTATAGAACATTGATGTATTATTTCATTTTGTTCACAAACTATATTGAATTCATTAGAGATGTATTCTCCACCTCTATCACTTCTTAGAGTCTAGTTTTCTTTCTAATTGATTTTCAACTTCAACTTTACGTGTTTTGAAGCCACTAAAGACTTCATTTTTATTTTTAACAAATAAGTATACCTAGAGTAATCATAAATGACAGTAATAAAAAAATCTATTACCATATCTTGTTAGCATGCCATTTAATTCAAATATATCGGAGTGAACAAGTTCAAGCAAATTTGTTGATTTTATTACACTATGAAACAACTTTTTAATCATCTTTAATTTAATACATGTTTTACATCTTTCTAAGTTATCAACTTCGCATTGTATTAATCCACATTTAACCATTCTTTTCATAGTGCTAACTCTTATGTGCGCTAATTTACCATGCTATAAATTAAATGAATCAATAATATAAACAAAAGATTTGATTTTATTAGAATCATTCTAAAGAGTACAAAGTATGACCATTCAATCAGTAAAATAGCACAAGTTTTTTAGACTAAAAATAGACTTAATTCCTGGGTTTCTTAATAGAACTTCATTTGCTAAGTTTCTACTAATTTCTGGTACATGAAGAACGTTGGTCAAAGTAATATTTTTTCTTTAAGTGAAAATGATTACCACATTACCTTTGTCAATCACTTTAGATCTTCCTTCCTTTCTTATTTGGATCTCTTGATCATCTTTAATGTCATGTTAAGTTTTGAAAAGAGACTTATTATAACAAACATGGATAGTTGCACAGATGTCATGCCATCAAATCGAAACCTTGCTTTGGACTACATTGATTTCGCTCAGCATAGCGATAATCTTATTAATAGAGTGAATGATATCAAAGGAGGAGTTAACCTCTAATTCACAATGAAATCCAAATATGTCAAGCAAGGTGGAGATTATTAAACATTATGTTTAACATTTTTGGGCCCAATGATGAAATCCAATACTTGAGCCCAATGATGGAATGTGAACCAACTGCCTCCCATTCGAGCATTCTCGCATTTTACTGAAGTGTGACTTTGGTATATTTGTTCATTTGTTTTACTGAAATGTGAACTGACTGTCTTCCAAAGAGTTAAGTACATGCCAAATTTACTTGTATTCATTTGTTCTTTGGAGATAGCATATAAGTAACATCATCTTCCAGTCGGCGAGTGTAGTTCAAATGTGCTATATGCATCATGTACCATTTAACATAATTTTGATGGAAATCATTTATAGAGATTGAGACCATAGGTGCAACTCAAATAAGAATTTAAATATCTAAATTTAAGGTTGGAGACTACATGTCACTATCTACAAGTACTGTAGGAGCAATGGAGAATGCCTAAAACAGAGGTGAACTCAAAGGGGGAGAGGACTTGAAGTGGATTTTTGGGTTTGCTTGTGAGTTACGTAGGGTGAATTGCGCCTCTTTAACAAACTATAATTTTGGGGCAAAGTGATAATCATACCCTAAAGCAATAAGTTGAAACTATTCTTGCACTTGTTCATTTAAAAATATACTTTTTCAACATGCTATCATCCCAAATAATAAAAACAATGCCCTTGTTTGAGCCATATTTTTTTATAAAAATATATTTTTGAATAGTGTATTGATAGAAAATGTATGGTTAAAAAATAAAAAAAAGTTTGAATTTGCGTGTAATATTATTTTATTGGAGAATGTGTTGTTGAAATGATATCAAATTATTATTTAAAAATGTATTTTTTTTGAAAGAATATGGCTCAAGCAGGGCCAATATCATACTACAATGATATAGAAAACTGAAATTTAACTTAAAATATATAGCTTACTGTTGACACAAAAAAATTCAGCCCAAATCGAACAGCCCAGATAGTAAAGCCCAATTGGAGGATCCCCAAATCAGATAGCCCAAAGAACGAAATCCAATTGAACGAATCAAGGTGAAGGCCCAAATAAGGGGCCCAATAGTGCGGTAACGCCATCGCCCAAGTTTGCAAGTCGCTCA